GTTTTAGCGCGATTGTTGAAGTCGAGTGTATCGGTAAAGTTATATTCGGAAAGAATGAACCAGATTTATTAAGTAAAGATTTGTGTCGTTAAAATTTCGTCGGAACAAAGTTACGGAAAAATCAATTAACAAACGGAGACGTAACAATATATATATATAATTCATCTGTCGTGTGAAAATACTAATGGAGTTTATGTAAATGTCAACTTTGTACACAGAGATAAAAGAGAGTAAAATCAATCACTTTATTAATTTTGGCATAAAACGGGTGAACGAATTTCTACAGTATTACTTGCTCTAGGGAAAAGAGAGACTGGCAATGTTTGTTTCATGATTTGAAAGTTCTTTATCCTTTCAATTGTTCTTTCCACGTAAATGCACAGAAATGAAATTGTGCACCTTGTACAAGTGAACCTGGAAGTTGCTTTTGACCAGCAATGAAAGGAGGCATGACAAGTGTTGCTCCTTTCATTGCAAGATTCTGGGCAATGATGAAACTCCTATCTGCCATAACCATGTCCCTGTGTTCAAGTTTGTTACAGAACCAAGACTGAGCCATTATGTCAACATCTGAAATGCAAACACTCCAGTATTTGGACACAAATGATACAGTGCCATAAGATGTTATTCCAACAAGAAATTTCAGTGTATGGTGATGTTTATAGCTGCTCCAAATTTTGGCATGAGCGGTGAGATTATAGGGAAAAAATAAGAAAATTTCACTACAGTCAATATTGACTCAGCAGTTGGATTTTTTTTCTTTTTGATTTTCTGTGAAAGATTCCTCATAACTTCTTCTTTAGTTGGCCAGTGAATGAGGAACCTTAATTGAGCAGCTAAAATAGGGATACAATTGTTGATGATTTTTAAAACTCTAGAAGATGAAATATGAAAAGGATGTACTAGATCTGTGTTTTTTAGGCCCCATCTTAGTTTCATGTGTCGGCATGATTTGATCAGCTTTGTTGATTGAAGATATGTCTGGTATGAAGCTTGACACAAGACTCAAAATGAAGAGAAGTCCTGTTTGCTGGGAACTCCCATGAAAAAGTGGTACTTTTTATCAGTCAGAGTACTAGATAACACTTTGTTTTTATCAAGTTTTTCTTTAAGTCTGTCATGATCTCTTTGTAGGGCATCGACCTCAAGTTGTAAACACTTATTGTGCTATACGAGTCACTTGTTGTGCTCCGTAACTTCTGCAAGCTGTTTCTGTGTATTCTCTAGCTTGGCTTCAATCTCAAAGACATCAGGTTCAACTAGTTGTGTGCAAAGTGAAGGGGCACACTCTTGCGATACATCAGTGATATCTTAATCAGTTGTAGGTTCCTCGCAGTGCCTCGTGATTGGGCAAAAATACCCGTTTCTCTTTCCTTTAGCATCTTTAATTGTTGAAGTCGATGTTGGAAATGAAAACAAGTTGGGACATAATCTGGGTCATCGGATGATTTTCCTGAAGTAAGACAAGATTATAATAATAATAATAATAAATTCAATAACAATATGAATTGACTATAAATCTTTAATCTATCCATATTATTATTATTTCAATTATTGGGTATTATTATTATTATTTCAATGTAACAATTAGTATCTGTAGTAGCCTATGTGTAGCTGAGTAGATCTATAGGATCTAACATGAAAAAATGTGCAGAGCAAACTCTTTCATGTCCTTTTGGCTGCCATTTCTTGGATGTCTCATCATAAAAACCTCTTTTCAGATTCTGTTTTTGCTTGTTAACACAATTTATAGCACAACAACTGGTAGACATGTTGTTAGATTGTTTTGCCTACCAACATGGCACTTGCAATCATTTGAACCAGTAGTGATGTTATCGTGATTTTGTGTATGCACAATAAATTTAATAAAGTTGCAGTATTTCACAATTAGCGTTTAGGTGATTCACTTCTTTTCCTCTAGATATCAGCACCTCATTATGCAATATATTCATTACAGGGCAGAGTGGATTCATAAATTTCAAAAGAACATGAGTGAAAAGCAGAGGTTTTGTGGGTCTTGAACTTTGAAGACCATTGTTAGTCATGTACAGTTACAAAAGCTGTGAAAACATAAATGAACTGTTTAAAATAATATTCCCATATAGTATTAGTAAAATTGCATCCGGGTACTCTTGTGAAGAGAAAGAATGTACATATGTGGCTTGTTTTGGATTTGCCCTATATATCAAGTCAAATTTGTATCAAAAGCTTGGAAAAGATACAAGACTTTGCGCTCTTTTACGATCAATCCTTAAATGGTCAAAAAACCAAAAGGACCAGCTGTAAGCGTACCTTTGGCACTTTGACTAAAAAAAAATCTTGTATTACTAGATTTCTTGATTCTGCATTTCTCAGCCATACATGGGTTAATATACAGTCAGTTGGAGGTATTCTGTAAGTTCCTTTGCCAAATAAATACACACTGCTGCTCAAAGTGGTAGATAGAAATATAGTCAATACTTCAATTAACAGAGGGAGACAGCTGAACTGAATGAAAAGACACAGAAAAGGAAACTTGTCCTTGAGAATATTGCAAAACTTAAGGCTAAAATGCTAAAGATTTGAAAAGGATATAGCAACCTTAATTGACGCCGTTGATAATCTTGCTGACAAGGCCAAAAAACAAGGCAATATGACTGATTTGGCAAAATCAACTAGTTTCAGGAAAGCAGCAATAAAAAAGTTTTCAGAATTACAAAATGTCGCATGAAGAAATTGAAAAGATGGTGGAAAAATAAAAGAATTGTTAGTCTGTGACTTATCATTGTGTTTCACATGTAGTCATACATGCATATACTTTTGCATAATATATACAGAATAAACAGTTAATGTGGATTATATGATTTATTTCATGTTATATTTGGTATGGGAAAATCAG